TATGCTTAAAAGTTAAGCGTATGATAAGCATTTTGGTGAGTCTTACTTTAAATCAGGCATGTTAATGAGCAAAATACTGAACTTTTTGTTGATGTTTGTTTGATGCATGAAAACCATTTAATGAAGTTATTAGGTTGTAAAACAAAAATATTTATTTATAAGTATAGATGATTTTTTTTTTTTTTACCACAAGGCTTACGAGAATACACACTGTTTTGTAAGTATAATTATGAGTTTCTTAAAATTTAAATAAGCATACCCGAGCCTGTTACAAAAACTCAATATTCATATAATATAAAAGCATGCATTACACTAATAATATTATTCACCTTACTATTCATCAATAAATGTTTGAAAAAACCATTTTAGTTATATTAAAAAAGGGAAAAATGTCCTAAGAAATTAAATAAAATTGTTAATAAAATGATATTCATTTTCAAAAGGTTTCTTTTTTTTTAAATTTTACAGATATCACTTTTTGGAACTGATTTTGTTTTTTTGGTTATTAGTAGCCGCAGTGGATTTCAGAAAATGGCCAAAATTTGAGAAATATCTTCAAAAAAGAAAAAAACTATTTCTGTTACACCCTTTTGCTGAGCTCTACTCTAAACTAAGCATGTTTTTGAGCACTAATCTTTTAATACCGGAATTCTTAAAGATGTTTACTTGATGCATGAAAACTATTTGATGAAGTTGTTTTTTATTAGTGCAAAATAAAAATATTAATGTATCAGGTTCGAAGAAAGCTTTGTGTTTTTTACAAGACTTACGAGAAAGCTTTTTGTAAGCTTAAGCATATTTCTGAGCCTCTCAATACTTTTTGCATAAACATTACCAAGCCTGTTTCAAAATTTAATATGCTTTTGAAATGTCATAATAACACTATTCAACTTAGGCATCGTTATTAACTTATTAAAAACAAAATAAAAGATAAAAATAAATTTCATTACATATTAATCCAACATTGATGCAGCGGATATTTGTTTTCAAAAAAATAAATTTTTTCACTTCCTGGCTACAAAGTTTTTTTTCTGTTGATTTTTAGCCTTAGTGGACTTCATAGAATGGGAATAAATTAAGAGGTATCCTGGAGAGAAAAAAATTATACATGAATATATGTTTTTTGGTACACCCTAAAC